TTTTTTTAGATCTTGGACCACAACGTTTAAAAAGTGTGTGTTTTTTAGTCACCTGTTGTTGTTTTATAATTTAATGAAGTCGTGAGGAGCTGTCAAGAATGTGGTAGTTTCGAAAAAAACCACCTTTCTACTTTTGAACTGACGTTTCGACCTTTATTCGGGACATCTTCAGGGCCTGGGTAAATTACTAAATATATGTTGATTGGAAAAAATACAATTTATATTAATCCATTTACGTTTTAGTGGTCAATTGACCAAGTTACTTCTTTCAATTAATTATTCTTTCTATGTAAGGTCTTGGTTGAGATAAAAAAGTCAAACACAAGCGGGATTCGAATAAGTCGCTGACTTGAGATGGAGAGTTGGTCCGATTGGGCCCAAGTCACGATAGCTCAAGTGGTAGAGTAGCGGCGTATTTAGCAGAAGGTCGTGGGTTCGAATCCCGCTCATGACACTGGCATTTTTATCTCAACCAAGACCTTACATAGAAAGAATAATTAATTGAAAGAAGTAACTTGGTCAATTGACCTCTAAAACGTAAATGGATTAATAACTCGTAAGTAAAAGAAGTATCACTTCACTAACAGCTCCCCGTGGCCACTTCATACGTCGCTGAGAATCCAATCTTGATTCACGATAATTGAAAATATGGCAAAAAGACGGCAAATTCGAACGGTTGTAAGTTGAGATGGAGAGCTGGTGTCCGGGAGGATCGAAGTCACCATATCTCAAGTGGTAGAGCAGCGGCTTATTTAGCCGAAGATCGTGGGTTCGAATCCCCCCGGTGACACTGGCTTTTTTATCTCAACCAAGACCTAACATAGAAAGAATACAATTTATATTTACAACTCAAACTGTATTTTTTCCAGTCAACATATATTTTATAATTTACTTAGGCCCCGATGAAGACCCGAATAAAGGCAAAAATATTAAAAAGGTGTTTTTTTTAAACTACCTCATTCTTGATCGTTCCTCACGACTTCAAAAAAATTATTTTATAAGAAAGTAATCACTCGGGTAGTAACACGTTTGCAGAAGGTTGTATGTCAATGGTGACGGAGCCTATTTCCTTGGAAATATTTCTAAACTAATTTTAATTGTAACAATTACTAAATTCTTTAAACCCATATGTACTTTTCTGGTAACCATGGTGTTTAAAAAAAATTGAAAATTATGTTTTTCATACTCGGGGGCCTGTTTCATTACCATGAACAAATAAAACATGAAAATATTGGTAACTGTTGTATTTGTCTTTTGCAAGAGATTATTACGTTATTTGAAGAAAGTTCACAGAACTTTGAACATAAAGACGCCAGTGAGCCTCTTTTCCCCAAACTGTTTTACATTTTGAATTGTTAAGAAAATACCATTTTATTTTCATTGATCTGCGCCAAAAAGTTATATAGATCACATAGAAATAACACATATCTAGTGGAAGATATCCAGTGACAGTACTCATACATCTTTGATTAATAATATTTATAACCGCTCCCACTCTCTGTACCCTCTGAGAGCACGTCGTGTCCTCCCAGAGCTGCTGTCTTTTTAGACGTCGAGGAGGATTATTGGAAAGAGATCTGGTGGAAAGTTGTACGTGAGGATTAGATTGGGATTGGACGGGATTGTTGAATTTTTTTTTAGTTGATGGATGAGTTTACTGGAGCTTGAAATTTCTTTTATAAAGGGAAGATTTTGGTCGTTACGACGCGGTTGAAAACAGAACGGGGTGTTGACGATAATTCAGTTAAGGATTCGTAATGTGATTGTAGGGGTCTGGATTCTGGGTTTGGATCAACCACATATTGTTTGTGTGAAATATTTTCTAAACCCTTTTAGCTTTTTAATTAAGGCTGAAGAAAAAATTAGAAAACTGAGCTTGTTGTCGCTTTTGGAGTTAACGATTTGTAAACAAAACGGTAGAAAATTAACGTTCATTTGTTATTAAAATGAGCTGAAAGTTTAAAAAAATGTTTACAAAAGGCGGGAAAAATATCACGTCAGTTAGAAAGGGGTATGTTTTTTAAAAGATTAACTTATAAACTGTTTTTTTTTTACATTTAAGAAAAATAATTTTGGACAATAATTGTAATAAGTGACAAGAATTATTAAAAATAATTTGTAATACGATTTTTCTCACAGTTGAGATATTTGAACAATTTTTAAATTATTTTATTAAATCGAACAATGTCGAAATTTCATTTCTGGCGGTAAAAATTTGATACGATTCCCTGTGAATTTAACACGTTGTAATTCTTCAGTTCCGTTGAAAGAAATTTAAGAGAAGCACACCTCTAATTATCTTCGCAACAGAACATTTCCCTCCGGCGACCCGTCATCAGTGGGAAACTATTAGCCTTGCTCTTCTTACCTAACCGCTTTTATAATCTTAATAATATACCCTGTCAGCTCTTGATTCAAGTTTTTAATATATTTTTATGTAACGTGTTTTATCACTCGACCTTTTTTGGATACGGGAGTTGGTTATTGAACATCGGCTATCATCAGGATGTTCTTCTGTACACACAATTGCCCAGAACATAACACGAAATAAACAATATCGTTGTTTGACAGTTTTTAATTGGCAATAAAATTACAGTTGTGATAGGAATATTAATGGCACAGATAGAGAAAACAATTCTTTAAACTTTCTTATCTATAGAAATGTTTTTCCTTTTGAAATCTTATGTGAACTTTGAACCTGTTTCTTTCTGCTTTCTAGTAAAAATACTATTCGCATTATTATTTCATAATGGCGCTATGTCAAGGATATAAGCAGGGAGAGACGCTGGCTGATTCCATTTCTGTGAATTCTGCATGATTCTAAAAGTAAGGGTTGGAAATTCCGCAAAAAATGAAAATCTAAAGCTACAGTTTTGAGGATAGTATTGATTTTGAGTGATTTGTATGAAAGACAGATCAGATAAATAGGTAGATAGCTAGATAGATAGATAGATAGATTAGATAAATAGCAAATAGCAAAAGCAAAGCTATAATAGAGCAAAGCCAACGAATAGCTCTTATAAGAACCACAAAAGGGTACAGGACGATTTCAACACATGCCCTACAAGTAATAGCCAACGCACCGCCAATAAACCTAGTCCTTAAAGAAAGGGTGGTCATCCACCAAAAAAAGAAAAATGAGGCTATTGATATAGGAGCAAGCCAAGGAGAAATAGACTGGTTCCGAAGCACAACGGGGAAGGAGGCAAAAGAGTACTTGGGAAAAATGACAAGGGCATCAAGGCAAGAAAGATGGACAAATAGCAATAAAGATGTAATAGATAGATAGATGTAATAATTCAGGGGTGTGGTATACTGCGCCCTTTAAGAGCTATTGTATCCCCTGTGCTCTGCCTAAAGCACATCGATGAGTCCTATTTCATCAAGAAACTTGATTAGTAGGCCCGGTTTCAGTGGTTGTAGTTCTTCTATGGTCACATTGTACATCCCAAAACACTTCCTCCTGCGGGCTAGTGTAGCTCCGCAGTTTGTTAGTAAGTGTGTTGGTGTCTCTTCTGCTTCTTTGCAGAATCTACATGTGCCATCTTGGATTATTCCAATTTTCTTTAGATGTCCATTTAATCTACAGTGTCCTGTCAGGAATCCTGTTAGGATTCGCAGTTTGTTCCTGCTTCCTTTGACACATTCTGTGGTTTCTTTCTTGCCAAAATTGGTTAGAAGATTCTTGGATTAAATAGCAATAAAGGTCGGCTAACATCCAAAGTTTTCCCAAGCGTTGAAAAAATACAAAAAGCAAATTGGCCACACCCCAGCTACGGGACCACCCAAATGCTATCAGGATATGGAAACTTCGCAAGCTATCTTCATAAATATAAGAAAAGAGAAAGCCCTTTATGCTCTGTTTGCAGCACTGAAGAAGACGCCGAACATAAACTCTTCAGCTGTATCAAATTCAAGGCAGAAAGAGAACGTTTGCGAAAGACCATCACCTCAGCAGAATGGCCGCCTAATCTCCAAAAGCTAGTCTGTGATATCAAATCTTTTGGAGCACTAAAAGACTTTGCCTCAAATACGCTTAAATGAACAAGTCCCTATTTATTCTATTTATTCTAATTATTAAGTCCTAAATATGTTATTATTGTTCGAGTTTTATTACCGTTATTTATTTATTTCTTGCATAATTAAACATAGGTTTAGGGTTACGGGCTGTTTTCCTCTTCTTAGTAAGAAAATTTTAGATAATGTACATAGATAGAAAATAAAACCAAGGAAAAGTAAATGTGCAAGGGAAGACCTATTGTTTTAGGTTCTAAAATGAAAATATGGTCCCTTCAAAAACCGACCAGCGATCTCGCCTGAAGGAAAGATCGTTGGGAGGCATTTTTATCCCATTTATTTGAAATCCCTTAGATATACAAATTCGATTAAGCTAAAGTGTTTGTCCGCCGGTATGGGGTCTTCCTCAGGTACGGCGGGGTGGTGGAAAGGGTAAAAAAAAAGATAGATAGATAGATAGATAGATAGATAGATAGTAAGAGAGAGAGAGAGAGTGAGAGAGAGTAAGAAAGAAATATTATATAGTTTCAATATCCTTTAAAAAATAAGTTATACCCTTATTTTAAACATATAACCTGGTGAAATAGTTGAGTAATGAAAACCAGTTATTTTTAAGTTTTATCTTCTTTCTCTTTTAACTTTGCGTTATCTTCTCTTGACAATATCTTCACCTATTGATAAGGAGTTTTTTTTATTGTCATAGGTTAGGTTTTAAACGTTCGTTCTTTTAATAGAAATTTTAAAAAAAGTCAGATGCGGAAAGATTTATTCAAGTACTAGGAAGTTAGAAAGTAATTATTACTCAATAATCAGCGAAGTCTTGGTCACAACGTAAACATTTGAAAAGGGTACCACGCAACACCCAAAGGTTCGCAAGCATCATGATGGACTCTTTTTAAATCATAGAAAAACATAATGCAGTTTTCTTTTATTTAGTTTTTTTCAGTATGATGAATATAATTAAAACTAACATCTAATATCAATCCAATAAAAGTCTAAAAAGTACAATTTTCGTAAGTTCAGAAAATCGTCCACATAGACACAAATTTACAACACTGAAAGGTCAGAAAAGCAATTGTCCCTCAATATTTAAAAATACAAACAATAAAATCCTAGGAATCTGCAACTTAGAAACTCACGAAAACAGGGATATATAAAATTTAGTTCAAAGGAAGATAATAAATGGACAGCATTAATGGAGAGAATCAAAGAGAATTATTTGTACATTTTACAAAATTATCTATAAAAACCACACAAAAAATAACAAAATGCGTAGGGAAAATTTAGAGATAAAGCAATAACACACAATCATTGACTTAAGTACAAATTATAAATTTGTAAATACTAAAAAAATAACAGAAATATCGTTTATCTTTTAAATCATCATTTAAGTGATCATTGACACAGGTTTGATAAAACACGTATACACTTTTAGAAAAAAACAACTTATTTTAGTGCTAATACAACGCTACAAGTTTAAATTGCTGTACACATTTAAGCCTAATGACGTACGGTACGTCACCTCGCCGTCTCTTCTTCCAAGCTGTTGTTCGCTTCCATTTCCTGGTCAACGACGGGCGTCTCTTCTTCCGACTCGCTCTGACCGAATTTCTCATTCAAGCTGTAAAACATCGCCGATTCCTGGCACGGTATGGAATCCTCGGGCCTGGCGCAGGTGAATCTCTCCTGTAACAGACAGAAAACAAAAATAGTGTTGAGCACTAAGGACTAAAACTATTAATATACTTAAAAATGGTTGATAGACTTTTCTCATAGATGGTACGATGCGTAGTGCACTGGTACATGTTCTTTACCTTTCATTCCACACAAACACCCTGTTTCCGTTAAAAATCGGATCGGGGTACGCAACAAGCTACTCTCGTTCTCAAAGATTATCTTTACGTCGGGAGCCATGTCTACACGCTCCCTGTAAAGGCCTAAGGGCAGGCCCCAAATTTGGCTATTAGTTTCCATGACAACCTCTTCGTGCAACCTCCTGGATCTTTGTTCTGCAATCGATCATTGATGCTGCCTCCTCAGTGATATTCAGAATAAGTTTCTGTATTGATAACATGCTTTGGCCGTGTCCTTTGACCTCGAGAAGGCGTATGATATGATGTTTGCGATACTTCAGAAATGTCGAGGCATCGGATTCAACGCAAATTACCTCGTTTCTTCGAGGCTTTCCTGAGGAACCGAAGGTTACGTGTCAGACTGGGGTCCGTATTCTTAAGGTACTTTGATCAAGAGAATGATGTCCCACAGGGGCCAGTGATAAGCGGTAAAATTTTCTAAATCGCAGTGCACGGTATCGCTGACGGTATCCCCGACTATCATTATATCATGCCATCATATATTTTATCATTTTATTATTAGTTTTATTCCTTCCTCATTACCCTTTCGCACCGACCACCCGGGCGCTTTAAGGAGCCGAAAAGACTTAAGGAACTGTGTCCCGGGGACCCGTGTTGCGATGGGGTGACTTCTTTATTTACTTATTATTTTAATATTATTTATTTATCATTTTATTATTAGTTTTTTGCTCCTTCTATCTGACCCCCAAGTTTCTTATAGCTTCCGTCTATAATAAAAAAGCAAGACAAAAAAGAAGAGCCAAAGAGACTGTAAAGAGCCGGCGACGGCTTAGGAACAGTATAAAAGAAGGCCAAGACAGTATCCCGACTAATCAGACGATTATTATACGTCGATTTTTGCTTTAGGGGAAAGACCATCGGAAGGGTGATCCAGTTGCTGCTGGAAGAGTCGAGAATATCGTATTCTCAGAGTCGAAAACTGTGCAAGTCCACTTGTGACGCATTGAACAATTTTTCTCTACAAGAGGAACACCTGAACGAGATTTTTTTCAAAAGCAGGTGTCCGTGTGTAAACCGGGTGTGCCCTAGCCTCGTATTCCGTTCCGTTTCAGGTCTTACGTAGACCATCTCTCAGTCTTGCTTCTTCGCGGACGATCCGGCTTATTCTTTATTTCAAACTTTCTTTTATTGCGTACTTTACTGTTCGTACAGCGTCATCGGGCCGCATCGCGGTGGTTCTGTCTGGAGCGGGTCCGGGTACCGAGACGACTACCACCGTGTTCCCATGCTCCTACTCATTTATCTCTCCAATAAGAACACGACGAAAGGGTCCACCGAGAATACGTCACATTAGTTTATTCATATATTATTTATTAGTTACAACCCCAAGTGGGTAGTTTTTCTCTGGAAGGATAAGTACAATCAGTGTCCTTAACTTTACGTTTTAATTGAAAATAGCTACATTAAAGGGGGGTTTGGAATCCTGCAATTTAAAAAAAATTGATTTGATAGTTTTGGTATAATGGCTGGAATATTACAAATTTAGGGATGCAGGCTGTCAGAGAGTACAGGGAAAAGCAAATGAACCTGTGTTTCCAACTTCTAAAGGAATATCTGAATAATATTTGCACACTACGGTTATGCACGAGAAGTAGATACGCACTGATACTGCTGAAAATTAAGTGTTTGACATTAATATTGTTGCTAATTTGATCAAATAATAAAAATTTCGAATGGGAAGTGAAACATTTGTTATGTTGGTTAATGGTTCCTGCTTATTCTTCACATCACATTCAAAAGATAAGTTTTCTATTACTGCTTATGCTAAATCAATATATTTCACGAAAAAAACCCACAAAGTTTATTAAAAATGTCATGGTATCTTAAAATCCAAATAACTAGGTTGTTGTGCCATGGTCATTTTCGATCATTTTGATCTGCCTAATGTCGTTATTTTGGTCTGTCTTCAGTGGTGAGCTTAGGTGGTTTTTTTTAATCTTTTATACATAATCGCCATGAAAGAGGAAAAGTATGTGTCGATGTTGAATCCAACATTGACACAGCTACAGGCTCATCATCCTGCAGACTTCATTATCTCACATCTATAGGTATGTGTTGTCAACAAACTTTGTCTTTGTTTCTAGGTATTTTTATATATATACGTATATCTGTACTCACCTGATTGAAAACAGTTTCCTGAGGGCATATAAAACTCCACATAAAAGTTTCACTCCTCCGTCCGTCGAAAGCTACTGGCAGGCAGACATGGAAAAGCTGGCAATCGTTTTCAGGGTCCGCATAATACCCGTAAGGTTTCGAGTTGCAGGAAAAGGATGTATCTATGTTCTCTCTGATAGACGTCGCGTTATCCGGAAGTGTGAATCTCTCCAACGGAATCGACCGGTCCACCTTTAACAATATCTTTAAGATATAAATCTCAAAGGGGAAAAAAAGATAAAATCACTTACCCTGATTCTGGGCATGCCGGATACAACAACACAAAAAATCAGACCTGAAAAAAAAGAATTCAAAAGCGTGATAAGGCAAAATTAATTTTTTTATATCACCTGTGATGATTCCAATCATGGTGGCGATCAGAGTGAAATATGCCAGCAGAGCTTCGTTTCTGTTTTATACCGACACCCCCCAGAAATCGCCGTGGGCTAGTTAGTATGCCGTGTCCTCATCGGGATCGGCCACCTGCAGCCGATCGAATACGAGATGAGGAAGGACAATAGCCCTAGCTCAGATCAAGAAGGCATGCGGAAAGACTGTCTGACCCACTACCCATTATCGCTTCCCTTCACGAGCTGTCAACGTCTGACTGACAGTGGATAACAGGTGACATTTTTATTGACGACCCGTTATTGTCATACTAAACTTGACTCTAAACAGTCGCATCAAATTCTTTAACGATTCTATGCCCAACCTACGCTTATAACCCTAATATCTTTATATTTCAGTTGCCATCATTGCATACAGAATATTTCCCACTATCCAAATTCGTTCTTGTACGGTTCAAATATTGGACGAGTCATACCAAATCCTTATGGTTTATAACATGATATTATAAAAGTTCGCCAAAAAAACATGTAAATCTATAAAGATAGTTTACAGTCAGTTTTTTGCCATCCATAGTATTATTATCATCGTCAATTACAATCTCTTAGACATACTTAAGTCAAGATTTAGTTTTACTTGAGATTAGTTTATCATAACTGCATTTCTGCAGACTTTTTGGCAAAAAAGTTGAAACCGTTGCTTGGATAGCGGCAGTTCTTATGCCATACGTTCTGCCAGTCTGGACACAAAACATTCGGGTTACACCTTATATGCTTAGCAGACATAACTGACCTATTTATTTATTTCACGTAATTTTACTTTCGATGTAATGTCTTGGTTAGATGAAAAAGTGAAAAAAAAAATTAAATCGATGAAAAATATGACAATGTCTATTTTGCATGTGAAGCTGGACGACATGTGAACATAAGAATCAATTTATTTTTATAACTGGAAAAAAACGATTATAAAAACTTTGTTAGCTCTATCAAATTCTATCAAATTTCTTACCTTAATACGATAAAATAAAAAAAGTTGAAAAAGCTTACGAATTTTTTATAATCCAGATCCAACATAAACAAAATAAGAAAGATATTTTTTTATTTTGTTTTTACTTTTTTAATAATTCTATTATTGTTATTTGCCTTTTTTAATAATAATTATTATTTAGGATAATTACACTCTTTGCTTTTATATAAATGTCATTATTGCTCATTGCAAATTTTTATTTTGTTTTTCTTTAATTTTAATCCATATTTGCTCATAATTGACCATATTAATTATTTCAAATAATTCTTTTTAGCTAAGGTTTTTCGTTAGGATGAAAAATTAGTGTCACGAGCGGGATTCGAACCCACGATCTTCGGCTAGATACGCCGCTGCTCTACCACCTGAGCTATCGTGACCTCGATCCACTCGGACATCAACTTCCTATCTCAACCCCACCTTAAGAGTTTTCCCTCCTTTTTGCCATTTTTCAAATGTCGTGTAATTGGATTGGATTCTCGACAACAAATGAAATGGCCATTAGTAGAGCAGCGGCGTATCTAGCCGAAGATCGTGGGTTCGAATCCCGCTCGTGCCATTAACTTTTTTTCATATCAACTAAAAACCTTAATTAATTGTAATGTATTAATTGGCCAAGCGGACCACAAAATTAGTGAATCTTATATGAACTTTGAACCTGTTTCTTTCTGCTTTCTAGTAAAAATACTATTCTTATTTTTATTTCACAATGGCGCTATGACAAGGATATAAGCAGGGAGAGACGCTGGCTGATTCCATTTCTCAATACGCTAGCAATTAGTTCAATTAGCTCAGTTCTAACCACTTGTGCTATCATTCACTTGAAATTTATGGGTTCGAGTCCTGCTCGTGACACTAGGCTTTTTATCTCAAGCAAGGCTTTAGGGAAAAGTATATTTAATAAAAGTTCGGGGTACCATTAAATTTAGTCGAAGTACGCGCCACACTGGACTGAATTAACTTGAACTTACAATGAAACAGGTACTCCAAAAAACAATCATTTTCATCTGGAATGAAGCGTAGATTATTCTCCAAACTGTATTAACCAGTATTGGCAGGACATTTAGAGATTGTTTTATCGACTATCGTACATTTGGTGGGAAAATTTATATACTGGGTGGAGTCTTTGAACAGGTTTTGTCAGTCGTCAAAAAAGGAGGGAGCAGACAGATTTATGAAGCATGCTTAAAAAATAATTCGTAATGGAATAGCTTTCAGCAATTCAAATTGTCCAAGAATCTGCGTGTAGATGGAGACTCCATTGAATTCTCAGATTACATATTAGATATCGGAAATATATCATAAAAAAGCTTGAAATTCTCAGGAAATGTTATGTAATAAATTAATTGAAGAGTTTTATCCATTGAACCCGATAGTAAGAAAAATTAATAGGACGATACTACACTGCGACGATTTAAATGGGAATAAAACGGGAAAATTTACACGCCGCTCGAATATATTTAGACACTCGAGGAGATAACGAAATGCTTTTTGTTTTGAGACGATTACAACTCCCAGGCCGTTTAGCATTTGTCATGATCATAAGTCACAAGGACAAAGTTTTGAGGAAGTAGGTTTGATTACAAATTCACAAAACTCAATATTTACACATAGAAATATATGTAGCTCTGCTATCGTCAGCAGCAGTCTGCGGAGGCTGAGAAGAAAAAGGTCATACTACCGGGTTGCGCTCCCAAGAACACACAAAGCACAACTCGCTGATCGAGTATCTCCGACCAAAAATATTTTTAATTATATATAGATCTTAGCTACATCATGCGACATGTGTTTTTGTAAGAACGGATGTAATTTATTAGCGTGAATGAAGGGCTTATCCCTCGTTACCGCGTGGAATATAGAGGAATCTGGTTAGTGTGAATATAATTTATTAGCGCGAATGTGGGGGCATTTCCCAATTACCCCAAGATCAAATACTTTGTGGTAGAGTGAATGCTATCCAGACTATTATGTTTTATGTTTTTGTGGATGTGTTTGTAATTTTTGTTATGTTATACAGAATCAAGGGCCGTCAGGGCTGGGCTATCTAAGTAGTTTGCCTAAAAATGCCTAATAAAAAAAAAATTAAAACATAAATGGACGGATTTTACAATAACAATTCAAAAATTTTCTTTTACAAATATCTTCGGTTCTGATCCATTTTTGTTGTTTTTCGTTGTTTATTTTCTGAGATAAGGTCTGCGCCAATACAGTGAAGTCTAGGTTCCAAGACCGTTTTCCTTTAGACCGGTTGAGAAGTATTAAAATTATCATTATTTTTGCGATTTTCGAAAAAATCGAAGGCATTTGGAAAACAACGGCCCAGGAATTTAAAAAACTGCTTTAATTTATTTTTTATGTTTTAATATATGTTTTTAATTTTAATATTAACAAGGGGGACGGCTGTCTGATGAAGGCAATTTCCGACACTAACCGTAACAATACCTGTAGCTTGCAAATAGTTTGATACATGTATGTAATTATTTATTATCTTGTTGAGCTTATTGTAATTTTATAAAATACTAGAAAACCCTAAAAAGTACAATTACAAGTATTAATAAAATGTATTCTTTATTGCTAAGTACATAAATAATTGCTTCACGCCATATTTAAAATACGATAAGTTACCATTACCTACTAGACAGTTACCACCATCCTTTTTAAACTTTCTGTTAAAAATGGTATTGTAATACAATTTTATTAGAAAAAATATTGAATATTTTTTGTGATTTAATTATGAACAAAAATGAGATTTACAAAAATAATAACTATACTGTCAGAGGTTAGGTATTCTTTAACGATACATTTCGAACATTCTGTACGGTTTTGTTGAAATAATTTTGAAAAATGAAAACCTTCAACGTTTGATACAGTCCAATAATGGAATTTTTCCCCTTATTTCTAATTTTACACCGTGGGCTTCGTTCAAATTCATCCCGTTGCTCTCGTTGAAAATTAATTGCTTCGGGTCAGTGACATCCGTGCGACTGTCAAGACCTTGTTGGCATATTGTCAACCGATTCCTCCTATCAAATTATCAAACAGATATTCGAATTCGCTTTTTTTCAAAATGATAATCATATTGTTTCTTTATATATTACTGAATAGTATCTTTAACGCATAAAGATAACAATAAACCTTTAATAATGATAAAATCCTTGTATATCGAGGTGAGAGGAAAAACATAATTTTTCAGCTGGATATTACAAATATATGAAATCCCTCGTCACGTACGCAACAGAGAATCTGCCACTTGTTGCTGAAAATAAAAACATTTCATATATAAAAGATAAACCCACAAGGAAACAGGTTCTTTCTTATTTTACTTATCTCGGTATCGAATCAACAGGAAAACGTTTGTCTTAAATCAACCGACCTCTCTGAAGATGACGCGATGCCGAACGTAATAGTAATTTCAAAACCCGCGAGTGAAGACGGACCCAATGACTGATCCGATGCCGGTGAAGAATGAGTTCACCGACTCGCAGACCAACACCCAACATCAAAACTGTTAGAAATCATGAGTGATGGAGAGAGTGTGGTGTTCATTCCTTTTTTAAAAGATAGTTCCTACTCACAGTAAGTTAGTTTAGTTTAACTCACTAAAATTAACTAACTTTAACTAACTAACTCACTTACTGTGTAGTAGGAACTATCTTTTGAAAAAGGATTCATCAAAGCTGTTTTCTAAAATGGACACAATTTCATTGGTTAAACTCTTAAATGTAATCTGAACTTGCTTAACTTTTAGTTATTATGAGCTTCTTCCTTATGCACAACTAGATTTGGACTACCACGATCAGACTGTATGGAAATTCGTATCGGAATGGTGTACGTATACATAAAAAAGAAGAGGTTTAAATTTCGAAAGATGTTCGTCAAGGTTTATTATCTCACTTTTACTTTTTAATATCTATTAAAAAATATCCGGAATAATCTTGTATGAAAGAACTGAGGTGTGAAAGTGCATAACACAAAGATTACTGGATTAGTAGAAAGTAGTGTGGGATTGCGACATAACTAAAGAAGACAAAATGGTTGGTTATGTTTAAAGATCAACTGTACAAATGATTGAGATGCTATTTAAACAAAACTGTGATCATTCATCAGAAATCCGCTATAGAGTTGAACATGGTAGAAATTCCATTCAGAAAATAAGGAAAGTCTTGACAAAACTTGAACCTTCTATCAGACTTGATATTCGAACACTTCGATTCTAAACGCGTTATGCAGGAAACTGTAAGCATTCGAAATATGGATAGATAATCGCTGAAGATATCTTGGACAGGCACCTGTTTATTACATTACACGAATAAAAAGTCCAAAAAAATAAAAAATCCTTAATACTGTAAAGAGAAGAAAATACTGCAGGTGATCCTTAAAGGGAAAATATATGGGAACCATGAACTGGGCAAAAAGCATTTTGGCAGTTGACAAGTTGGTCCGCAGTGAGTACGGATCATCTGTTTAAAACAGCTTTAGATCCAAAACCAGATCAGGCTGTTGGTGACCAACGTACAATGGTATATGACCTGACCACGGTGGCTACCTGGTATAAGAGGCAGGTAATCTCTGAACACTAGTTGCAACAATAGCTTTTGTTTGTAAATAGATTCTTGTAAGATATAAGTTGTAATGTGAACGGTGTGTAACATACTGCGCTTTTTCAGAGCTATTATGTACCACGTTCTGTACTTATAGCATACCGGTGAATTTCTTCCATGGTTAAGTGTTCATCTCAAAACAGTCCTTCCTGCGGGCAAATGTCATAGTTTGGTAGAAAGTGTGTTGGTATCTCCTCTGCTTCTTTGCATAATCTGCACGTGCCTTGTTGGGTTATACCGACGTTCTTCAGATGCCCCCTTAGTTTGCACTGTGCTGTTAAGAATCTTGTTAGGATTCGAAGTTTTTCTTTTTTCCTTTGGTGCATTCTGTTTTTTTTTTATTCCTTCCTAAGTTAGAGCATAAGGTAGAAAAGTTCTTCGTTTGTTAATGTCCAATGAATGAATTCCACTGTTTCCTCATATTCATTTTCTTTTGCAAGGATGTCCCTTCTCTCGTAGCCTTCTACTCCCACATGTCCTGGGATCCAACAGTTAGTGACTTTATTTTGCATTGCACATCTATTTAGTTTAGTTTTGCAATTTAGCACTATCTTCTATATTCTTGTTTTTATGTTGTACCATTTGTTCAGACTGATCTTGGTTCATATCTCAATTGCGTGGACTTCAGCTTAAAAGATATTGATGTAGTTTCCCATGAACCTTCTGGTTTAAATTCTTAAGTTAGTCCGCAGTGAGCACGGTTTTTCGTTTTAGAATAGCTTTAGCATAGAAACCAGTTCAGGCTGCTGATGGCAAACGTTCTACGAATACATGGCTTCAAAAAGAGAATAATAATAATTAATAATATGTTTGATATATTAAATCGATGGGGCTGGATGTTTTCCGGGTTTTGTAATTTATTTTGTACTAAAAACAAATCTCAGACAAGCAAAGATTTTGGTAAAAAGACAATGAAATGTTCGACGATTTTTAATAAAAATATATATTTACAAAATTTTACAACATTGAAATCTGGAATGTCTATTAAGCAAAACAAGTAAGTTGACACAACTTTATGTTTTGTTTTAAATAAATAATATATATTACACCATTCGCCTTGGGCGAATATTCATAATAAATAATTTATACAAAACCGTTTTCTATGTTCAAATACCTAAAATGCATTTGGAAAAACGACAACAAAGAACACTTAAATTGCTAAACAAGAAGAACATTATAAATTAAAAATAAATAAATAGATGACAATTAACAGTCTGGCTTGCCTTAATTTGTAACAATAAATAACAAGTACTAAATTTTAAAAAACAACAATTATCACAATATTTTTGCAGTATAATTACATTTAATTTTTGAAGTTAATTAATAAAATAATTTTGGTGGCAAGTTATTCATTTTTTTACGTTGTTAAAGTTTACTCTTTTGAAGTATTGCTTGATGATTAGCATCCCCTTAACGTTCGACGTTGAAAGAAGATTGAACACTTTTCTAGCTGTTTTAGAGCTGGAAGGATCAGCCAGTAAATGACTAAAACGATTCAAAAATCAGGGGTCGATACGCCTGTAATCGTTTCCAGCCAAGGTTTGTAATACGTCGTCCGCATGTAAACACCTGGAAGATACGGCGCGGCGCATTTTATCCCGTGGGAGACTGTTCCAGCGAGGACCCAATGCCCGTTCGGCTTTTCGATCATAAGAGGTCCTCCGCTATCGCCCTAAGAAAAAGAATATAATGATTTGATCGTTCAAATGACGGAATTTTTCAAGATTTGCTACTTACCTCGCAAGAGTCCCTTTGACCGTTGGCATAACCGGCGCATATGAAACTCTGCAGTATGTTCTTCGCGTGGCCTGCGGTGTGGAACATTTCCTGGCAGACGTTATTCTCCATCACGGGCACCTGAACCTCTTGCAGTACACTTGGAACTCCACCTCCTGATTAAAGAAAACACCATTACAAGACCGTAAAGAATAGTCAGTTCTAACTTTTTCAACCGACCGTATTTCAATCTCCCCCATCCTGTGACGGTGGCCATTTTCCCGGTGAAATCCTCGTTGTCCTGGGGCATGCAGATGGGGACGATATGCTGGTCGAAGACGACGGGCGATTCTAATTCGAGGAGGGAGATGTCGTTCTCGAACGTCGATGGGTCGTAATGGCGGTGGACGATCACCCTCCGGACGTTCCTGGACACGGACCGTTTCGACTCGAGTTCCCCGCTGATGTCATACTCCCCAAACACTGCTATTAATGAGGCCAAAAATCTGAAAAATTCATTTTGATAAGTGCAAATTCAACTAAAATTTGTAAAAATAATAAACTATATTAAATCTGTTCGTTGGAAGACAAATAACAACTTCTGATTTTAATTTTTTTCATATAATTTTAAACTAATCCATATTTGCTCAGTAGTCCTTGTCCATATTAATTATTCGTTTTATCTAAGGTTTTTGGTTGAGATGAAAAATTAGTGCCACGAACGGGATTTGAACACACAACCTTCGGCTAACACGCCGCTGCTCTAATCACTTTGAGCTATCCAAAATCGTTTCAATTTTCCTTCATTTTCGCCATAAAGCCGAACTTGGTGGGTTCGAATCCCGCTCTGGCACTAATTTTTCAACACAACCAAAACCTTAGCTAAAAAGAATAATTAATTGGAATAATTTTAAACGTTTACTAGATTAGAAAAATAGTCGAATTTCACTGAGGGTCGGGTTCAATAAACTTCAGCATTCCCTTTATTCCTGTTTTAAATTATGTGGATTTCTAAACCCTTTGCAATTTTGGTCGATATCAGCTTTGAAGGTTTTAGTCTTGTTAGCATTCTCACTGCCACAGAGTTCTTGATATTCCTCGGGGTAATTGGGTATATGCCCTACATTCGCGCTAATAAATTACATTCATACACCAGACTTCGTTCACGCTACTCCAGGATATTCGATATTCCTCGGTGTAATTAGGGATGTGCCCTACATTCGCGCTAATAAATTACATTCATGCACCAGACTTCGTTCACGCTACCCCAGAATATTCGATATTCCTCGGATTAATTTGGGATATGCCCTACATTCAAGTAATAAATTACATTTACACAAAGCTCTACGTTCACTCTACCCCAGAGTACTCGATATTCCTCCACAGTGTGATTGGGGATTTGCCCAACATTCATGCTAATAAATTACATTCATACATCAGACTTCGTTTTCGCCACCCCAGAATACTCGATATTTCTCGGTTTAATTTGGGATATGCCCTATATTCAAGTAATAAATTACATTTACACAAAGTTGTACGTTCACACTACCCCAGAGTACTCGATATTCCACAAGGTGATTGAGGATGTGCCATACATTCACGCTAATAAATAACATTCATACACCAGACTTCGTTTTCGACACCCCAGAATACTCGACATTTCTCGGATTAATTTGGGATATGCCCTATATTCAAGTAATAAATTACATTTACACAGAGTTCTACGTTCACACTACCCCAAGAGTACTCGATATTCCACAGGGTGATTGAGGATATGCCCTACATTCAAGCTAATAAATTACATTTACACAAAAGTTTTCGTTCAAACTACCAGAGTACTCGATATTCCACAGGGTGATTGTGGATATGTCCTTCCATTCACGGTTATAAATTACATTCACACACCTGACTTTATACTCGATATTCCTCGGGGTAATTATGGATAAACTTTGCCATATCACATACAAGAATGTACAAAGATCTATATAGAATTTAAAATATTTATGGCCCTGAGATATATGATCAGTGATCTGTGCCTGCTACCGTGCCTCACGGCCGCCATGGGTCATTCGGAACGTCGTATTTTTTTTCTTTGCCGACTTAGTTCTTTGCATTCTTTATATGTGCTCTACCGTGAAAAGCTCCATAACTGGCACCTACATGGCCTCACCTCAATTATTAGAAGGCGTCCATGTGTGATCTCGGTATGAACTTTTCCCTTCTAGACCCAGCCTCCGCAGGCCAGGGACAGTCAGACTTGAAGAAGAATCCTATGCATTATTATATTTTAATAAATAATGGTTCTAACCTAATACAGACAGCCAAGACAATTTTTCTGATTTATGACAATACAACAGCGACGAAAAAAATTGTAAAATGTTTGCTAACAGTCTCATTATATTTCATAAACAATACATTGGTCTATCCTCAGGTATATAGCAAAAAATTAAGTTGAATCAATGCAAGAAGAAATAAAAAGCAATATTTTCAGTCAAGATGTGACGAGATTTTTGGAGACTTATTACAGAACACACAAGAAGAAACATGAAAGCGCGATCTATCGGCCAGTTGTATAACAAATACAAGTACACATATAATTTATTTAGCGTAGTAGTATTACAAAGATAAATAATTAAAAATTGATTCCGTTTTATTATTTCAGTCTAAGCGAAAATATGACATAAAAATGAAAAATACTTAACACTTAGCTAACATTGTTTTCAGTACTGTTCTTCTAAGGTGAATATTAATGCTTGCAAGGAAACTATTGAAATTTGACTGTTGTTATTATGGTAAAAGGAAGCAAATTAAATTATTAATTAATCAAGAGGTCGGATAGCTGTAATTAATTATTATTCCTAATTAATCGGCCCAGTTGTGTAGGCATACTTCTTACAAGAGGGCAGCACCAGAATGCAATTGTGCTGATTCCTGCTCTCTTCTCACTCTATTTCTTGAAAAGAACGGGTTTTTTGAATAGAGTCGAAGTGAACTTGTTAATTCATAAACGCTGATATGTAACACATCTACAACATATTTTTAAAAAATTTCCATAACTAGATATAATTAAGAACCTGGGATTCCGCAAATAAAAATTTGCTTATTCTTTTAAGGAACAGTATTAAATTTAAAAAATAAATTCAAATGTAGTGATATTAAATGTCTGATTAGAAGAAGGGTTGCCAAGCTCTTTCTATAGATGTGTAAGAAAAAACGCAGTAAAAGGAAAGATGATTTAATATGATTAGTCGATTATCTATGACAACTATAGCCATTTGAGACAATTTGACAAATTTTATTATACACGTTTATTCATAGTAGAAGGTCTGATTTGAACAGAATATTAATGACTTAAAAGTTAATTACCCTGGTTGACAGTGAGCAGCTGTGATAACATATTTGTTGGTGATGAGAACGCCACCGCATTTGTTTTTTGTAAAAAGCCCAAGCCATGTTGCTTCCCTGACGAGGACTTGCCACGGCCATTCTCCGAAGGTGGCACCTTTACCGCCGACGATCCTCCCATTTTTCATCAGAGGTCGCACGCCGCATTCTGAAAATAGTCGAAGGTTAATCGATAAATGGTTAGTAAAATTCAGAATAATTAACATTTACCTCGTCTGTAGTCGATTTCCTCGGTAGAAGAGTAAACTGGAGTCGTCTCGCTGAAAGGTTGGTAGTGGTCTGTCTCTTCTAAAAAAATGGTTGTAGTCGGAATGGGCCGTTTTGTCGTCTGCGGTTTGGAAGTCGACGGCCTAGGAGGAGGTCTTGTGATCAACGAAGGCGTCGGTTTGGGTCTCGTGGAAGGTTTTGTGGTGTAGGACGTCGTCGGCTTCTTTGTCGGTTTTCTCGTCGGTTTTTTTGTAGTTGTCGTAGGTCGTTTGACAGGTGGTGTATACGAGCTCACCGTGACGTTTTGCGTTGATTCTCCGTTGATCAGGACGTGTTCAAGGTCTTCGAAGTTGCCCTGTAAACTTTGAACGATCTTTTCGACAAATTTGTGCACTTTGTTGTCGAGGGTTTCGTCCTCGACCAGCGGAGGGGTCGTATCCTGCACCACAGTCGTCTGTGTTCCCCAGCTCACTACTTCTGACTCGCCCTGATTTTGTGTCAGGTTAACGTACGGATCTCGGACAGGCGGAAACGCAAAAAGTTCGGTCGAGTTGGGTATTCCGTCTTTGACGACTTGGGTCGGTGTCGTGTATAAAGGCACGGGTCGGAGGTGAGTCCCGGTCGTCCCATGGGTATACACTTCCGGTTTGATGGTCGTAAATAATGGCCCATGATTTACACCGTGGTAAATGGGTTTTGCCGTCGCTGCTGCGGCGGGTTTGTAAGTAACTATATTTCCGTCAGGATTCACGGTGATTATAGTGCCCAAAGGTGCGACAGGCTTTTTAGAAGGGCTTACAGGGCCTAAAACGATCACTGTGGGCGCTGGTTCGGGTGTTGTAGTCACAGGTTTCGGTGTTATGCTGACCTGAAATCCAGGTCCTTGAACAAATTGGGTCGTAGTCGTCGGTCGCTTAGTAACTTCGCTATATCCAGGATTTTGATAAGTCGAATAGTGAGTCGTCGGTTTTTTTGTGTACACCGTCTGCGGCTTCTGTGTCAAGATGGTCGGTTGGTTCTGTGTGGTGTAGTAATGTTGGGACAAAGGCTTTTCGTACGTCACTGACTGTTCTTGTGTAACAAAAACGGTTACGGGCCTTTCAGTACTGTAATAGATCGTACTGGGGTTTTGACTAGTATAGTGTGAAGTCGAGTGTTGAGGTTTTGTGGGCACATATTGGGGTTTCGACGTAGTATGTTGTGGTTTCAAAGACACATATTGGGGCTTCGTCGTCGTGTATTGCGGTTTTGAGGAGAGATATTGGGGCTTTGACGTCGTATATTGCGGTTTTGGAGACAAGTACTGGGGTTTGGAATCGGTGTAATGTGGTTTTGATGAAGGGTAGTGGGGTTTGGAATCTGTGTATTGTGGTTTTGACGAAGAGTACTGAGGTTTCGTCGAAGCATAGTGAGGTTTTGAAGTGGACGAATAATTGGGTATATGCGTGGGGTATGACGGTCGCTGGGCACCATATTGTCCTGAGTTGACTGTAGAGACGTAAGGTTTTTGAGTAGAGGGCTGTGGCTTGGTGTACATGGATGAAATATGTCCTTGGGTTGTCGAATAGACGGAATTCTGTGTAGGCTGTTTAGAACTCGGTGGGTACACAGTCGACGACGGTCGATATGAAGGAGTGGGTTTCGACTCGACCGAAACCCATGTTGATAAATTAGGTGTCGTGGAAGATTCAGAAGGCTGAGGTTCGGGGACAGGACTATTGTCTTCTAAAATGGACAGGATATGATTGATCGATTCGGCATCTTGACCGTTGCCTGAGGCCGAGAGTGTAGGGATTTGGATGAAATTCTCCCCAGTTTGTGAAGACCAGTACTGGTTTTTGGTCGTCAACCAAGTTTCGGTCGTTGATTTCCATGTCGTCGATTTCTGAGGACTCGTCGCATGCCGGCTCGGGGGAGGAGGCGTCGCGTCCGTCGCTGCAAACATTTCCGGCTTGGAGTTGAACTCGAAATCCTCCGGCCTGAAAGATTCTTCGACGACCGTTCCATTTTCGTGCAGGAGCACCGTATCGGCCACACCGTGGAGTGTGGTTTTGTCATCTTGATTTGGCATGGATGGGGTTGTAGAACTCGTCCTCTGAGTCACGCTCGATGGGACGTTGACGGAAATAAAATTGGAACCGGGAGGCAGTTTGCAACAAGCGCCAAACAAGAATCCGTCCATACACGAGCCGACGACGATCCCATTCTTTTTTGTACATTCATAGTTGAACATACAAACGCCGGTATCTTTCCCGTGAATCGTTCCTGCTTTACAACTTTTTGGTACTATTCGGTAACCTCCAAATCTTCTTCCTGTAAACCAGAATAAATTATTGAAAAAAAAATTTGTCAAATCATCGGTTCTTGTTATCAATATAAAACAAGCTAATTTTGTGTTAAAACCAAATTACACAACTGTTGCAAAAATAAACCTTGTTAATAAAACGAAAGCAACACATAATAGTCGTGAATAAGGGATGTATATAATAACAACCCTTGTTCCAATCTAAAGTGAAACGTACTTTATTGTGTTGTGGTTGTAACTAAATCGGGATGATTGGTAGAGGGCAAAAGGAAACCGTAGGAGGGTCAATTGTAAACTGAACCAGTCTTGCCTTGAGCAAACTTGAACGTAAATATTAACAAGTCGGAGAAAGCCATTGTCTACTAGGTCAGGCTGATCACCAGTTAACATATTTCCTTCTACTCCGCAATCACACGTCAAGGTGAATCATAAAACGAAAGCTCAGAATTTGTATGCCATGTCAATAACCCGATGTATGTACAATCAATAATGAAATAGAGCTAATGTTTCAAACAACACGGACAGTCAAATTACTGGGAAGTGTAGAAAACAAATATGTTTGTGTTGAATAAATGAAAAAAAGACTGAAAGTTTAATTAACTGGCCAGCAATTTACACATTTGGTGTCACAGTTTTACAAGGTAAAATAAATTATGTTTAATGGTTGTAATAATGAGCATATTTTTTTTTTAACATTTTCACTTTCTGAACAAACAAATATTAAAAAGTATTCAATGAATTTCATTATTGGACATATTTAAATATTTTCACCTTATTTTTTATTGTTTGATTTTACGTGACATATTACAACTATTTAATTAAGATGGTTGTTTCTTGATCTACTTAAAAAAAGACGGTTGTTTCAACCCTCATCACGCCCAGGCAATGCGGGTTAGTATCGCGAATATGATAAGGCTATTTTCATGACTAATATAAGTGCGATATACAAAAATGAAAAAGAAAACTTTTTTCAAATAAAAATATTATATCGATTAATTCTTAAATTATAAAAAGTAAATAACCACCAAAGTTGATTTAATTTGTTATCTCAGCTTTTAACTGTTTCTTATAATTTCAACCACATACGTATATAATTCATTAAAATAGATTAACGCGATGATTTTATTTATTAGTTATTTAAGTTAATAATTCATTTTTTGGAATATTTTGTTGACAGGAAAAAAATTCTTAGTCTAATGAAGTTCTACGTCATGCAGGCGTACATAAACAAAGCTAATCTGGTAATTATGCTTTACTTTCAGCTGATATCATAATTTTAAAAACTTATTTAACAGAATAAAGATATATTGTTATTATTAGTATTTAAAAGTTAATTAACAATAAATACATTAAAAACATGTACAATTACATAAGCCAAATTTTAATGTTTCTTAATTTTAAAAGTTTGTTTTTGTGGTTGATTAATAAGAATTCACTTGAAAAGTTAATTAAAAATAAATACATTAAAAAACATGTACAATTACATAAGCCAAATTTCTATGTTTCTTAATTTTAATTTTTTTTTGTGGTTGATTAATAAGAATTAACTTGAAAAGTTAATAAACAATAAATACATTAAAAAACGTCCAATTACATAAGCCAAATGTCTATGTTTCTTAATTTTAAAAGTTTTTTTTTGTGGTTGATTAATAAGAATTCACTTGAAAAGTTAATTAACAACAAATACATTAAAAAACATGTTCAATTTCATAAGCCAAATTTCTATGTTTCTTAATTTTAAAAATTTGTTTTTGTGGTTGATTAATAACAATTCACTTGAAAGGTTTGATGTATAATAAATTAAATTATTGGCTGTATAATCTTTCATAGCAAGTAATCCAATTTTTTATTTCAAAAATTTCTTTACGAACTTTCTTTACATAATAAAACAGAGTACCAACGGAAATTAGTAAACAAAGGAGGAACGTGATCTGTCATTGTCATAAATTCAGTGAATTGAGGACAGTAGACACTTTTGCGAATTGTATTGAATAATTGAACGTCAGAAAAAAGAAAAAGCTTGAAAAAATTATATTAAATGTTCGAATTGTTCACCTTTTTGAATAATGCAAGCCTACATCATTTCCTAGCAAATTTTACTGCTCTTTTCTTTTGTCTTATGTTTTTTCGAACATTTTTGTTTACTTTGTACTACTTTCATTATTTTTAAAAGAATTTTTTTGACTAATTTTGTAACAGTTCGTAACTGAAACATCAAATTTTTAGCAAGTAAACGATAATTTTACATTGGTTGATAAATTAAGTAAATAAGTCTGTTTGTTCTTAGCTTTTTACGTTATATAAGTGCCGTATCCGTCAGTATTTAAAAAACGAAGTAAATTTTACTTATACTTTGGACACTTTATAAAAGTGTATATTCCAATTGATTTGGTATTTTGTTTATTTAAGATTAAAATAACAATTATTCCCATAGGGTATTTGATGTTTTTTCCATCAAATTTACAGTATGATTAACAATTTATGAGATATGGCGGATTTTATGGAATAAAGCTGTGGAAGGTTGAAGTAACTTGAAAAGTGAAATGTTTCGAGTAGAATTAAGTTAAAGCTCTGGAGAATACGGGCCTTTTAGTCCAATTTGACCTGAAGTATTATCTGTTCTTCACGGGACACCCTGTACATAGACATAATTGTCATACTTAACATAATATATCATATGGATAACACGGTTCTCAGTAGTATAAGAGTATTTAACTCTTTCCAACTCATAAATAAAGAAACTACAATTTTGAATTTTAAATGAAACAGTCAGTTAATCTGTGGGTCAGGCGGATGTCTGAGAGAAAGCGGCGGTCGAAATTCTTCTATTTCACGGAACTCGAGTCAGAAGTATTCAAATAGCCCAGGAAAGAAAAAATGGAAACCCGCTTACGACTCTCGAATAAGGTGTGATTTGAATCACTAGTCAATAATGTATATCCGACTAAGGATAAACGAGTTCCTTCTCAATATAAGTTCTATATTGCGAAAAAATTCGATCGAATTCTGAGCGTTGATACAACAGAGATTGGACTAAAGAATTTAGAGATATAAATGCAAAAAAGAATAAAAAAATATTGAAACTACAGTAAATAAAGCAAAGTTTTTGTTAAGTTAAGTTCTAAGGTAACTGATAATTAAGCTTAATTAACTTCTCATTGAGTAATTTCTATCAAGCCCGAACAGGAGTGCGCATTTACTGATTACTGACAGACATGCACTAAAAACAAGTAGGAAACCATGTGTAATGATATAAATTAGTCGGGTTAATCAGAACAGTAATGTCTGAATAAATATAAAAGAAGTAGAGTAACGAATCGAAGAGGGGATAATAGCAATGTAACAGTTATTGTGCATAATTGAAATTGTTATTTATAACGGTGTTAACAAGAAGGAAAGTGGATTGAAGAGGGATAGAGAGTGAAAGGAGTGACGAGTCGGTCTCGAAAAACCGACCTTTGAACGAATGGTACGACCGCATCGGGCCGGAGGTTTAGAAAGAGGAAAGCGAAACGACAAAGGAAATCAGCCGGGTTAAACGCGTTGCAGGGCGGACCCAGGTGACGAATCGCCGTAACGACACGGGCACAGAAGATGGCACAAAAGGCCGACTGTTCCCGGTGTCGGAAGAGCCGAGTGAGAAAAAGAATTTAAATAAACGAGCTTATAATGTGTCGAGTGGGCTTTCACTTTGGCTGAGGTAAGTGTGTCACTAACGGTATGTCTAAACGAGTGTTCCTCATCCTCTAGTTGATTATGAATGAATCTATTGATTATGAAATGAGCATGGCGCCACAATTAGCACTTATAAAGAGACAGAAGCTCTGATTTTTTTAAATAGATCTAGTTTTTCAAGTCCTTTTGGGTCAGGTAAAATCTAAAAAAATATTTCTCAACATTCCAATATACAATTTTAATTAATTATATCGGATAAAAATATTAAAATATGTAATATTTTGTGTGTGGTGTTTAGTGACCGTTAGTCAATGATTATTCGGAGATCCTAAGATGCGGTTTGGTATGACGTAGGTTTTAAAAAAACATTTCCTTTATCGTGCCAACGTTTCGATCTTTATTGAGATCATCTTCAGTTAAAGTGATGTGAGTAGGTGTGTCATTCATAATACCTTGTGTTGTCTGCATTATGTATGCAGTTATGTAATTTTTATTGAAATGTAAAAACTTACTTCGTATTTCGCCTAAAATGTAAAAGTTATAAATTTAGTCTGCTTGTGAAACAGAATTGGGCAAACTCCTTTAATTAGAAAACAGTGGAAAACGTTGGCATTGGAAAGAAACCTTTCCAGCCTGACAAAGAAAATAGGGGTTGTAGAAGGTCAAAGGGAATTTCCATAATTTAACACAAAGAAGCTTCTTAATTCAAAGCTTAGCCGAGACTAATCCGATCCAGAATTGAGGGGCCAATTTGTTTTTCACGAAAACCTCCTATTGAGGACTAATAACAGGCGCTATTGTGCTAAGACTATTTCTCGGCCCGACGTATCGACTCGATTATTTATCCATTTCGAAAGTGGAACAGGTAGAAAACAAACAATTTTACGGTAATATCAGGCCGACGTGAATCCGTGCCGTCCCTGAGATCGAGGTCTCGAATCCTCTAGTAAAGCGTGGAATCAAGAAAGTACCCGAAGAAAGCAGCCGGTTAACAGCTCCCGGCTTGAGTCACGCACCGATTACCCGAGGCACCATACGAAACTCTTTTTCTGTCGATACGAAATTGGCAAAATTGGATGGCATTACCTTCCTGCTGTGTGTCCGTCTGATGGTAGACTGCTGAGAGCCCGCTGACCAGGGGCGGCGGTAGCACTGAGGCGAACCAGTAGCAGTATAAGATGGATTTGATCCACCCCATTACTGCGTACAAGCTCCTGTAACAGAAAAAATATGTTCCAGTTATCAAGAAAAATAATTGTTTACAAAGTTTTCACTTCCCGAAAATTTGTTTAGAAAGTTGTCTCCGAAAAACATTGAATCATGTATCATGTAACGTAGCCCGTCCCTAATCCTCGACTTACTCCTTACTCCACCTAATCTAATTTAACCCAATTAAACTTAGCTCATGCGGACTCGGTAAAATCAAATGTGTTTTGTGAGAAAAAGGTACAGAGGTAGATAAATGGAAAGAAATATAGAATGTTAAAATAGAATTCTTTTCTCAGAAAATATGAATTGAAAGAAATATTGAAAAATTTAATAAAAAAACATCAGGGAGGAGAAAGATAATCCTGGCTGTTTTAATACCAGATATGTCTTTATCAAAGAGACACAACTTAAGTGTGAGAGAGTATATGGGAGAATGAGAATAAGGGAGAGAGATAAAGAGGGAAGGTGGGTGGTAGGGAGGGATGGAGGAAGGGGGAGAGAGAGTGAGAGAGAGTGAAGGAGGGAGAGTCAGAGAGAGAGAGAGAGAGAGAGAGAGAGAGAGAGAGTGAGAAGGAGAGAGAAAAGGAGGGAGAGTCAGAGAGAGAGGGAGAGAGAAAGAGAGAGAGAGATGGAGGGAAAGGCAGACAAAGAGAGAGAGAGAGAGAGAGAGAGAGAGAGAGAAAGACGGATAGTCAGAGAGAGAGAGAGAGATGGAGAAGGATAGAGAGTCAGAGAGAAAGAGAGAGAGAGGGAGATGGAGGGAGAGGCAGACAGAAAGAGAGAGAGAGAGAGAGAGAGAGAGCGAGAGAGAGAGAGAGAGAGAGAGAAGGACGGATAGTCAGAGAGAGAGAGAGAGAGAAAGAGAGAGAGACTGATGGAGAAGGAGAGAGAGAAAGGGAGAGAACATTAAAAAACAATCATTCAGCCACGGATTGACGATGATTGATTCTATTTTTTGTGAATTCTGCCTATGTTTAAAAGACTTGAATTGAAAATTTTATAAAACGCAAAAACTTAATTGAAAATCTCTCTTAATTAAATCTCATTAGTCGTGAGTATGTGTGTGTGTGTGTGTGTGTGTGTGTGTGTGTGTGAGTGAGAGAGAGAGAGAGAGAGAGAGAGAGAGTGAGAGAGAGAGAGAATGAGCGAAGGGAGAGAAAATTATAAATAAATTAAACAATCTTTCAACCGGAGTTTGCACATAGAGAATATGAAAAACTGACATATCAATAAATGTTGCCAGAGATAAAGATGGCTCTGCGCCAAGGTTATAAGCAGGGAGAGGCAAGACGCTTATTGATTTTATTCATGCGAATTCTTCTTATATTTAATAAATCTTATTTAAAAATCTCTCTTAACTCACATTAGTTGTGTGTATGTGTGTGTGTGCGTGTGTGTGTGGACCATCCAAGTGGATTAATTTTAACAAGCAACTTGATAGATGAATAAATAATAGATGTAAGATATACATGAATACATAAGTAAATAACTTCTGATTAAATAAACTCAAATTCATCATTCCAGCTTTAAAGTAACACTCGCAACAATAACAATTAAATTTTATTGTAGTATCGAGAGTACTAGAGACAATTAAATATTTGCGAGAGAGAGCCAGAGAGAGAGAGAGTGAGAGGGAGAGGGAGGGGAGAGAGAGTGAGTGAGAGGGAGAGGGAGGGAGAGAGAGATTGTGAAAGAGAGAGCAAGGATATATGTATATGCATCTATGGTAAAAAGTAGTTAAAAAATCGAAGTTTTTTATTTTAATTATTTTAATTGGTGCATTAATTTAACTCTACTCGTTCGCGTGCATTCCGTGGCAGCGAGCTGTGGAGAAACACCGGAAAGGGAAGTTGTAAGATGTGGGTCGGTCAAGTGCACAGGGTCAAGGGGTTACTAGATCAAACAGCAAGACCTGACACCAGGGGCTATATTGAAGATAAGAATCCTTTTCCGTCGTTTCATCAAGATTGGGTAATGTAGCACTTTAAAATGTCATCTTGGGTGCTCGTCCCACAATAAAATAAAGTCATGACAAATATTTGATTATTTTTTATTTATAACTAATAAGGGTTTCAGATATGGTTTATTTATAAAATAATTAATGTTTAAATTTTTGTAATAGTAACTTTTGTCTTTAGATTAATGTAAATTTTGGAGGTGTAGTAAAACAAAGAGTGCACACTGTGAAACAAGAAGAATAGGTTTGACACACAAAAACTTTTTAAAGTAGAAACTGCAATTACATCCGTTCCAAATGAATGTGAAAATGAGATGAAAAACAATGAAGTTCCATCTCTGCACCTGAGGAAATCTTGGTTGAGGTCGTTCTTGGTTTTCATTGTGTACTTTCCCTCGGGCTTTGAACCGCCTTTTCCCACTGCCCCAGATCGCATTTCTCGTCTTGGTGAACCAACCTTGACACACCGCTGCGATTATTCCCATTTTCCTTTCCGACATACTCAAGTTTGGGACCGGCGTAATTGGTCTTTCTGACTAAGGCGAGACGTACAACGGGCCACTTCCGTCGTGCATATTTACGTCAATCAAGAGTAAAGCTTTACGGCATGGTCGGATCTTGTTGCATTGCTTTACTTCCGAGTTACTACTCTGAGGTGATAAACATAATCTACACGATTCCCATTATTCAGATCATTAATCAAAAGTCCATGATTAATCGTCGAATCTTTCAACTTGATCCTACGAGACGAAACGCCCCAGGTTTGTCTTGAGAACTTGAAGGATTCATTAAGGAGCTAACGGTCTGCGTATTCAGCCGTTACAGGACGATAAGTTTCATTTTCAACTGAATCATTGCCGGTCAAAGGGGATCATTTTAACCAGATCACTCGTTCAACAGGATGGAATCCATCGGCCGTGGCCTCCTGGTGGAACCTTGGTCAAGGTGAAAGTCACGGCCGGACCCCCGCGCCGTCCCCGCCGATCGATCTGGAAACACTTGATATGGAAATGAAGGAAAAGCTGGGAATTAATAATTTCGATTTTTTTTAAATCCCCGTCAATTTTTTAACTTAATTGGGAGCAAAACCTAGCTAAAAAATCCCCCAATAACTTGCTTTAAGTTTCCTCCTTAAACTTCTTCTTTAAGCAGTTTCAAATCCATAAAACCGAAAAATTCTTCAACGAAGTTTAGGAAATGTATATTACTAAACTCTAAGAATTTGTCCAGCCAAATCTATGCTACAAAAAATATATCAGAAATACTATAACAGGCACTGTGCGATAGTTGTACATAATAAATCGATACAGTTTATGAATTACCTTTTCTGGGCAAAGTATAAAATAACGTGAAATAAAATGGCTTAAAATAACTTAAGCAAATACAATAAAATGTACGGGAAAGAAAGAAACTAATTAAAAAAAATAGAAGAATAAGGGAAGATCCTAATAGGCGTATCTGGCTGAGATCGAACATATATTTATTATTATGGCGATTGTTAGAAAGTAGAAAAACGGAGAGTGAGATGAAAAGATAGATATATATATAGAGAGATGGAGAAATAATTAAAAAAAGCATGGCAATTAAAATCACATGTTTTATGAACAAGAGGGACAGGGATAGATAAATGGAAAGAGAATAGAAAATATACTTTTTTTCTCAAAATATATTAATTGAAAGAAATATAGTACAACTTAATAATAAAAACAACAGTGAGGAGAAAGATAATCCTGGCTGTTCTAATACCAGATATGCCTTTCTCAAAGAGGTAGAGATAGATACATAACATAGATTGTGAAAGTATAAGGGAGAATGAGTAAGGGAAAGAGATAAAAAGGGAGAGTGTGTGAGAGAGAGAGAGAAGGAAAAGAGAAGAATTATAAACAAATACTGGCAAAAAGTAAATAAGAATTAAATAAGATACAGGAGGAGAGAGAGAAGATGTGTGTTACAGAAAGGTAAAAATGAGAGGGAGGGAAGGATAGAGTGTGAAAGTGTGAAATACGGTGTGAGAGCGTGAAAGAGAAACAAAGAAACACGGCGAAGAGAGACAAAGAGACAGAGAGAAAGAGATACACACACTCAAGAGAAAGAGAGAGAGAGATAAAAACGGAACGAGAGATGCAAAATGCAGAATGAGCGATAAAGAGATAGATAGAGAGATAGATAGATAGAGATACAGAGAAAGAGAGAGAGAGAGAGAGAGAGAGAGAGAGAGAGAGAGAGAGAGAGAGAGAGAGAGAGAGAGAGGGGTGAGTGGGAGAGGAAAAGAGAGAGTGATAGAGAGAAAGAAACAGAGGGAGAGATACACACACTGAAGAGAAAGAGAGCGAGAGAGCGAGAGAGAGAGAGAGAGAGAGAGAGAGAGATAAAAACGGAATGAGAGATGCAAAATACAGAATGAGCGATAAAGAGATAGATAGATAGATAGATAGAGATACAGAGAGAGAGGGAGAGAGAGAGAGAGAGAGAGAGAGAGAGAGAGAGAGAGAGAGAGAGAGAGAGAGAGAGAGAGAGTCTTTCTACGTTCTACATTAAAAGAATGGGAAAGAATTATTGGAAAAGATTATTTAGTTTAATATGTATAGCAGTTTCACTTGGCTTAAGATTGCCCCGTTTAATCCAACGGCGTTCAAATACACAAATATTTTCACAACCTCATCACGGAGGCCGTACTTTCATCTTGATTTAAACCGAGAAAGTCCATTGTTGAGATTGTCACAAGGTTACCTTATTTTTCATAAAGCGAAACAGGAAAATTCCATTGAGCGGAACGCACGGCGAGGCGGAGTCACAATGGGTTCACGTGTTCCGATTTTGGCCGTTTTACAAAGCAGACGAGTCGTCAAAGTCGGCAGATCCAGACCGGCAGCCGTGAAATCCGAACCCGGCCGAAAAGCGCGCACAGTTTCGAAAAATCGCTAAGAAACCCGCGTCCTATCGGATGCCGGCCGCTGCGACACAATGCAGTTCACTTTCGATAAATCATTCTATTTTCCTCACTTTCGCGACTCTCTGCTCCAGTTTTCCAGTCGATACGCTCTCCTG